ATCTGGTCTTTTCATAATATGCTCTTTCATCTATTACAAAAGTTAAGATCTTAGAAATGCTTTATTTTTTTACAAAAAAGTTTCTTGTTTTAAAATATGTTCAAGTTTTTCTCTCGTTATACTTTTTAAAATATGAAGAGACTGGAAATCCATTTAAATTCAGGAATATTAAGTAAATCCTATTTGATCCGATGGAAGAGAATGTCTAGTAATAATATTGATATAAAAAGGAACTCTATCTTAGTTAGATAGATAAATAGATAGATAAACAGATAGTTAGATGGATGAATAGATGGATAGATAGGTTGATAGATAGATAGACAGATATAGTATAGATAGAGAGATAGATGGATGGATAGATGGACAGATACACAGATAGATATATCGATCGATAGACAGATATATAGATAGATAGATCTATCGATAGACGATAGATAGATATACAGAAAGATAGATAGAATACAGAAATGGATATTGAATATATAACAAACACACCCTTCAAATATATTAATCTATATATAAAACTGTTCAATCTGGCTGAGTGTAAGATGAAGAAAAACTTTAAGTACTGGAAGAGCCGATAGTTAATATATAGAAAATGGTCGAATACGATATGCTACTCAAACTGAACAGAAACTGATTCGATATGTTGATATAGAAAACAAATAATGGATTGAATGAAACTTGACATTCGCCATATCAACACATATGTTTACATATGCATACATACATATACAAATATACATGCATATGTATGTATGTACATATGTCTATGTGACTTGAATAACATTGGCAATTGAGGTAGCCGCCCAACCGAAAGGGGGAGGGGATTACAATAATGCAACTAACGATGACGCGCTGCGTACTTTAAAGAGGCGCTGACCCCACGATTTATGTGTGCAAGGGTGTGTGTGTGTGTGTGTGTGTGTGTGTGTGTGGCACGTATACTTGAAAGTATTGTCACTGCTATCAAATAGCAATGACAACAACAACAACAACAACAACAGCAACAACAGCGATAAGCGCACAGAGGACTGTGGGACCTGTGGCTGATTGGGATCAAGAAACTTTTATATATAAATATATAACTATGTTTATACGCTTATATATAGTCTACATATATACAAATATAGATGTGCGCCTTCTGGCACACAAAGCAAGATAAGCCAATGGGAATGTGGGTGTGCAGGTGCCTTTAAGTAGCTGCAACGAGTAGCGAGTGGCGAGTAACTAGTGGGATTTAAGAAGTAGCTAGAGAGTATAACGAGTAGCTAGTGGAGAGTAACGAGTAGCAGCAGCGAGTGTCAAGTAGCTAGTGGAGCTTAACAAGTCGCTAATTATGTATAACGAGTAGCTAGTTGAGGACAACAAATAGCAGCAGCGAGTGGCGAGTAGCTTGTGGAGAATCACAAGTAGAGTATAACGAGCAGCTAGTGGCTAGTAACGAGAAGCCAGTGGAGTGTAACGAGTAGCAGCAGCGAGTGTCAAGTAGCTAGTGGAGCTTAACAAGTCGCTAGTTATGTATAACGAGTAGCTAGTGGAGAGCAACTAATAGCAGCAGCGACTGGCGAGTAGCTAGTGGAGAGCAACTAATAGCAGCAGCGACTGGCGAGTAGCTAGCGAAGTATAGCGAGTAGCTAATGGAGAGCAACAAATAGCAGCAGCGACTGGCGAGTAGCTTGTGGAGAATCACAAGTAGAGTATAACAAGCAGCTAGTGGCTAGTAACGAGTAGCCAGTGGAGTGTAACGAGTAGCAGCAGGGAATGACGGGTAGCTGGTGGACTACAGCGAGTAGCTAGAGGACAAGACCGAAAAACAGCAGCAAGTGACGAGTAGCTAGCGAAGTAGAACGATTAGATAGTGGAAAGCGAAGAGTAGCGAGTAGCGAGTCGCGCATCGCGAGCAGCAAAAGACGAGTAGCTCGTGGCGAGGGAGTAAGCACGGACATGCATTTAATGAACGTCAAGTTCAATGGCATTTAATTAAAATGCAAAGCGAAATGTAACGAAAGAACGATAACAAACAAACTGAGCAAACGTTGCACTCGAGAGTAGTCGACTGTGCAATACTCTGCTTACAGCGTAATTATAGTGTATATTCGTGATGAATAAAGTGTTGCTAACACGACGGGTGCAATCACAAAATAATGTATTCCAAACTACTTTTGGGTTAGAAAGTCTATATTCCCCTCTTTTGACATGCGGCAACAGAGTATAAAAACAGTCGACGTATACGCAATATTGTCTGGAATGACGGGGGTTGAGTTTTTTTTTTTGGTTTTGCATCGGGTTCGGTTTGGGTTTCAGTTTGGGTTTGGGTTTTGGGTTTGGGTTTTGGGTGGGGTTGTTGCAAGACGGCGGCTTACAGCTTACAGCTGCCCTTGCCCTTGCCCTTGTCGCTCTGCCCCCGTCCATTGCTTGACGGTCAACCCCCGTTTGAAGATTAGCTGGGAAGCGGGCAGCAGGGAATTGGTAAGTATGTGTTTTTTTTTTTTTTGGTAGATATCATTTTTGCTCTACGTGTGTGTGTGTGTGTGTGTGTGTGAGCATTTGCTACCTCATGAGTAATTGGGTGCTTCGACTGTGCGTGTGTGTGTGTGTGTGTGCCTGCTCTCTTCCTCCCTCTTTAGCTCACACACACACACACACACACACACACGAGCTTGCATATCTGTGCACATGTATGTATGTATGTAGAATGGGGGTTACATGACATTGAAACCAATTTTGAAGGTTCAAACGCTTTTCGCTGCTGTCGCCTTGGTTATGACTGCTGCTGCTTCTGCCCCTTCCTCTTCTTCTTCTACTTTGCCACAGTGGTTGCCTAGATACCCTATGCATAATTACATGCACAAACACACACACACACACACACACACACATATTGATAAGTACATACATACATATGTTTCTATGCGAACCCTTTTGTTAAATACTGTTGTCAGGCGGAGAAAAAAAAGAGAATAAATAACGGCACCATCCGAAATAAGTGCACGAATTTACAGTGAAAACTCAACTAACGAACAGCTCGATGGGGCAAACAAATTTGCATAGTTTCCACCTGAGTGGACAAAAGCCTTATCCAGGCAAAATATGTGCAAATATTGGGCTGGAGAAAAAAATCTTGTAATAATCGAGAATTTGCATTCCATTTGAATCGCTTTTCGAGTCGAACATTTGCCTACATTTTACATATACATATAAGAAATGTATGTATGTGTAAATTTACTAAAGTACGAATTGAAAACTTAATCATTCGTTAATAAAGATTTTTCTGTAGGTTTTTCTTAATTAATTAATTAATTGTAATATCTTGTAAGTTGCAAAAGAAAAATTACTGGAGACGTTTATTGTCGTTAAGTTGAGTTGTCACTGTATGTACATAGGTGTGTAGGTGTGCGTATATATGTGCCCTTGTCACTACATTCGGCAATTGCACTGAACTGTTACCAAGTCCAATTCAATTAAATTCAACTCAACTGTATATTAAATTCAAATTCAAAGCAAAGCAGAAGCGCAGGCAAAAACAAAAAACCAAATAACAAAGCAAAATACACAGTTGAACTCTGCTGCTCTCCCTTACGCTCTCTTCCTTTCTCGCTCTCAGCGCAAAACGTTTCACAACATTTTGTTATCGTGCGTTCGCTAACCCACCCGCTGCACACACACACACACACACACACACACACACACGCACACAGCCGAACGCAAAACAATCAGGAAGAGGAATTAAAGGCAGCGCAGCTTGGACGAAAGCTGCATGCTCTTTCCTTATATAATCAGTATATTAATATTAAATTAATAATGGTTAAAAATTTTAAGTCAAATAATTAACAGAAATTGTCGTATGGAAGATCTAAAATATAAAGGTAATATATCGGCAAAACTGATATACATTTTATAATATGGTCTTTACCCAAAAATTCCAATAAAATATGAGAAACAAATGGAGCAAAAAGCTTATCAGCTAAAAGAGACGCACTTTACTCGTTTAACATATCTTATTACGACGTACATATATGAAAAGATGAACCAATAACAGAATTATTTGTTGAAGAAAAAAACTGCAATAACTTCAATTTCAATTTACGTGACGTAACGTGTTCGCTTTAATATCTGTAAATCTTCATTTGCGACAATTTCCAACACTAACTAATGCTAATATGCAAGAATCAGGGCAAGAAAAAAACAGTTTTTACATATTGCAAAGCCTGCGACTGTTACGTGCGTAACTCCTGAAAATGCCCATGCATTGGCATTGGCAGGTACAAATGCACACAGACACATCAAATTCAAATGCTGAATATCAGCAAAGGGTTAGATCGCTATCTCAATCTGTGTCAAATTGCATCACATTACTACGCACACACAAACATACACATGCATAGTTGCACTCTCGGCTGAAGTGAAGAGCATACAAAAAACAAAAAAACAGCACCAAAATGCGGCGACAACAACAACAGCTCGCGATTCACAGTCGATTGTTTATCAATGTGTAAATAAAAGCGTCTTCACATTTGTGTGCGTGCGCTCGTATGTGCATGTGTGTGTGTGTGTTTGTTTCGTTGCCCAAAAATTTCAATAGCAAAGGTCAATGAACTCGCGCCGTGCCAATGCCTGGCGTTTGTGTTTGCTCTTTCACTCTCACACACACAGAGTCAAAAACGACTGCTCTGTGTTTGTGTGTTGGTGTGTGTGTGCGTGTTGCGTTCCGCATTGCGCGCTCTTGCTCTCTTTATGAGCTAGCGCTCTTTTGGCATTTGCGGCGCTCTTAGGTTCGTGCGCTGCTTCCTCGTTGTGTTTCATTCATAAACAGAGAGCGCCAGATATCGGCCAGGCCAACGAACCAAGGGCCGTACGCGTTTAACATGTGCTTTGACCCCCTCGCCCCCCTCCACACACACACATTTAACCACCATTCAAGCTGCGTTCTGGCTTTAACCGTTACTGTGCTTTTACATATAATTTAATTTATTTAATTTTATTTTTAAGCTACTTACATCAACTGTCGACGTCCTTGCAGCGGCGGCATTTTTGTGGCCGGCTGGCGCTCATTTAATGTGTTCCTATTGTTAGCTCTTGTTTAAGCGCGGCTGCTGCTGCTGCTGCTATGTTAAAGGCGTAATCCATGCTCTGCCAGCGAGCGATGCCAAGTTGAGCTTTAACAGTTGAGCCTGGCTTTTAAGTTGCTGTTGTTGTTGTTGCGTGGATTTCTCTCTTAAGTGTTAACTCACACGTCGATGCAGTTGGGCTTTAAGCTTATGTTATGCACTCTCTTTTTTTTTTAATTTATATTTGATTCAAGATGCAGCGGCGTTGTTTTGTTTTGATTTAATCTGTTGTTGTTGTTGTTGTTGTTACTTACACATGCTTCTATGTACGCATTTACATATGTGTATGTGTTTGTATTTATGCTTATTGGATACTTGCACTATGTTATTACATTACATTACATTAGACGATTGTGATGAACTTTTCTTGTTGTTGCACTTAAGATTTAGTGTGGAGCAGGGGCGTGTGAACACATTGCGGGGTATCGCTGTTAACTCCGTTTTTACATCAAATTCATTCTTAACTTTATCCTAGGCTAACATTTAGGCGCTATTTGCTGGCTCACTCACTAGCTCGCCCGCTCTTTCTCTCTCTCTCTTCCGATTGAAACATTTCTTTAACGGTTTTGCTTGCTTGTCACATTTTCATTTTCTGACAACACAAAAAACAATTTTTGATGTATATAGATATACATATACATATATTTATCTGCAACAGAAACAAAAACACAAAAAACAAAAAATTTACGTTACGCGTTGCGATTAATTTGTTGTTGCCGCTATTGCAGCTCGCTGGCAGTGCTAGGGACAGGGGCAGAGGGTGGGAAAGGGGAAGGGGGAGGGGGCTAACAGCATTCACCAAGAGAGTGGCCAGCCGCATGCAGCGCATGCAGCAGCAGCAACAACAACAACAACAACAAATCAACTGCATTCAGTTGGCAACGCCGATGCCGGCAGCGTCCTTGTTGGCGTCTTGGCGCCTATTCCGGGCACTTGTCAATTGCTTAGCAAAAGGCAATAACTGGCACACACACACACAAGCACACACACACACACACAGAGAGAGACACATATATGTATATACTCTTCAATTTATGCTGCCACTTTGTTAATCGCATTCAAATACATATTTGCAGCAAAATACGACAAAAAAAATACAACAAAAAAACCAACTTTTAAATATCGTCGTTATCCGGGCGCGAACGACAACAGCTCGCGGCGAGTGAAATTTTAAGAATGAGAGAGAAATTTTTTCGTTTTCTTGTTTCGTTTCATGCGCTTCGTTTCATCCATTGGTCCGGCTGTTCGTTTGCCAGGCCGAAGACAGGCAGAGGGCGCTTAAAAGCATGCAACATGAAACTCAATAACAGCAGTGCCCATTACATCGCCCTGTTAACGTTTACATGGGCCTGTTACAGTGCATGTGGGTTTTGATTTCAGTGTTGTTAAATGTAAAGATTTACCAATTGCTTTGTATTGTGTCATATTATAGCTGACTTAATTAAATGTATTTATTAAAAATAAAATTAAATGTATTTTTGTAACAAACGCCTTTTGACAAACTAGTTTCATAAGCTGTTAATTCGAAAAGGAGCATATTAAGCGACGACTTTCGTCAAATCCAGTTTCGATGAGCTTCGCTTATGGTTTGTGTATTGAGTAAGCTTTAACTTGGTGCAGCAAATGCACAAACCCATTAATGTTTTGCTTATTGCATATCCAGTTGGCGCAGTGTGACCGCTCTATGCTTGTTACAAGGAAATATGGTCACCCTGTATTAACCAAATTTAAAAATAACGCAAAACATTTGCCAGCAGACTGAAGACAGCAACTGCACAAATAAGGTTGTGTTTAATTAAATATTTACTTTTGGAAAATATACAGTTGAAAGCGATTGAAAGGGGTTAATAAACTTTAATCAAATCATGCTTTGCTTGCGACAGAAACATATATCACATAACTGGCGATATATGCAAACGATATATGCCACATATCGCTTATACAACATCGCCAAGAATGATATATTAGAGGCAGACAATGTAACGCATGTGCGGCCATAAATCGCAAAAGAGAAACAACAAAAAAAAGCCTAATTCCAAATTAAATTAATATAAAATCATTTTGTGTCAAAGTAAAAGAATTCGCGTGTTTGGTAACACTTGCCCGACATATCGATATCCATTTATTGCGTCGCAAAAATATCGGCCAGCCCATCGATATATGTTGACGTCTTTTCACATCACTCGAATTGGAAACAGTTAAAGGCAATATTTCGACGCTTTCGGTTGGAAGAGCGGCTGGACGGGTAAATATCAAAAACACGTGCTTCGACCAAAACAAGGAACACGCACATTTCACAGGCTAGCTGCCCAACAGCGCTGTCAGCCCGCTGAGCGTCAATTGACGGGCTTAACCTTATCCTTGACACACAATAAGTACTTATTTTTTCTCATGCTCTGCTTGGCGAAGTGCATAGAACAATCCTTTCGGCCTGTCGTCCGTCCATTTGTCAAACTACGTATGCGTGTGCGTATGTGTGTGTGCGTGTGTGCCTTTTTTACGTACTATTTCGCTGGCAGTTAAATGTGTTGGGGGGGACTCATATGCCCTGCCAAAGGGTATTACAGTTCTTTCATGAAATGTGCTACGCATAGAAAACGTCTTCGATCCCATAAAGACACAATCGAGTCGATATCGTCATGTCCGTCTGCAAACGTTTCTCAGATTTCTTAAAGCTATCCAAAATTCTGGCACATATGCAGGCAGTATATAGACTATATCATATAGCTGCCATAGAAAGACTCGATCGGAAAATAGTTCGTTTGTATGAACATTTTTTTTTTTGTTTTTCCAGCTATTTTGATCAAACTTTTTATTTATGAGCTACATTATATTTCTAGCATATTTCCAAAGATTTATTGACTTCGGGCTACAATATCATAGGAACAATCGGTCGGAAAATGTGATTTTGTATGAAAAACTTTTTTGTATTTCCAGCTATTTTGATCAAACTTAAGATTTGTGAGCTTTATTATATGTCTAACTTATATCGAATCGCTTTATCATATTTGTATAGGAACAACTGATCTTAAAATGAGTTATTCTTTACATTTTTATTATTATTAAGTTTTCTTCAAATATTTCAAACATATCTGTATATATATTTATATATCATATACACATTTGCTAGGGTATTCAAGCCGAAGATAGCGTTTGTTTGTTTTGCAGAGCATGCCGCCGTCGGCTTGGGTCGAATGCAAGGTTTTCCTTTAATTGAATTGCGTTAATTTCTTTTCTTTTTAATTAATTGTTGCCTTCCAATTGTTCTTTTATGTTCTAGGCACGAATTGTTTTCAACTTAAACTGAAGAGGCTCAGCAACAGCGTTAGCCAGCTGCAATCTGCCAAAGGAGACCATTTATACATATACATATACATACACACAAATATATATATATATTTGTTTAAATCATAATTAACGGACGGCGTCTGCTTGTTTATACATATTTCTTTATTGCTTTTGCTTTTGCTGTTGCTGTTGCTATTGACATCGATTGCCTGAGGTGAACAGTCGCATGGCAAACAGCAGCGCAGCCGCCGACGTCGACGTCGGCGCCAATCTGAAGCCAAAAGTTAACGGCCTAATGGGCAGCGGCGATTCGGCCAGTTACCCAACAACAACAACAACAAAAACAACAACAGCAGCAGCAGCCGCAGCCGGAGCTGGCAAGTTGGAGCTGTTGCAGGATGGGCTCAGCTGCAGCGAACTGTTTAAAAATGGCGAGGGCCTCACCTACAAGTAAGTGTTAAGTTAAGCACACTCTCTCTTACACACGTGCACACTTGCACACTCTCTCTCACAAGCACACACACACATACACACACACACACCTACAACCTTTCAATACTTTATACGATGCCCTACCCAAAGTTAAAGTTTATTTTGTTTCGTTAAGTTAATGAACTGCTCAACTTGTTCAATGCCAACTCAACTAAATCGTTCAATTCAATGCACTCGTTCAGTTAGTCAGTCGGTCATGCACTCAATTCAGTCGGTCATGAACGAAACAATGTATTCTGCTGTTATACAGTTATTCATGAAAGATGCGTTTTGTTCAGTTAGACGCCTTTTCAGCCGTTCATTGAAACTACATTCTATGGCGCCTATTAAGCATAAACAAATATATTTGATTATTATATTAATATAGAAAGAAATCTTTTTAAATATAAAACATTTTGATGAATTTATAAAGTTTTCACTTTACTTATCAAAATATTAAATGAATAAAATTAAAAGAAGATTAAATTATTGCGAGTAAGTTGCTTTGTTGTATTGATCAAAAACTGAACGAGTTAAATGACAGATTTAGTTCATGGCGTTTGAACTGATTCACATTCAAATTGAACTAGTTAACACGCACCCCCCCCCCTCCCCCCCTTCGCCATTTTAACCATAAGCCAGGCTCATGTTACACACGCACACACTTACACAACGCTCGCTCTGTGTGCTTCGCGGCGCACATAGCGATTTTCTCATATTACCCGGCTATATAGACTTTGCCGCCGAGGAGGTTGATCTTAGCTCGCCGCTAACGAAGGGCATCACGTTGCGTGCACCGTTAGTCAGTTCGCCCATGGACACGGTAACCGAATCCGAGATGGCCATAGCCATGGCGGTAAGTGTTTATTTTATCTACGCCCATCCATAAAAGTACATATGCATATGTACATACATATATACAACCCGATACCACATAAAACTCCTCTCAACAAGGCTGCAAATCAGTGCGAGGTTCTTTGAACTGAACCAAAAAAATATTGCCAACTACGAATTGACGAAGTGCAAATACCCTTACGCTCATATGGCAGCAGATCAAGTTGATTCAAGCAGCATTGCATAGCACATCAACGATATAGTATCCTGATCCTTAGACCCAATTTTGCATATTTTCATTAACTATTCCATTTATCTTTATTTGAACCAGTTTCTTCTATAGTAACTTTTTGGTTATTCCCAGCTGAAAACTTTTTTGTTAAACAAAACATTAACATATATTTTCAATATTCAACCTATTCGGTTCCTATAACAGAGCATGTTTATGTTAACTTGAAATATGCACCTCCAAAAAAGTTGTTTAAACAAAAGCTCAATTTTCAACCGATTGTTCCCATGCTAGCTATATGATATGTCGCTCGGAATCGGTTAACTTAAACAAATCTGCTGACTGCAGCAGAAATTGAAGAAAGCATCTATCTATATACAAACTTATAATGTTATGCCAATTCGGCTTTAAAAGTTAATAATATACGCTATTCGCAGGTTTGAAGATGCTTTCTATAATGTATAACTTATTGACTGACATCATTATAAAGCTCTTTGCAATTCTTAAATTAAGATTACCTTTTAAAAAAGGCTCTATGTTATTGTTAGCAGGCTGTTAACATAACACTGTAAACGAATTTAAAGCAGACTTTGACTAATGTTAATGTTAGCGTTTATATCCGATTGAAATTGTCAACAACAGAAACCTGGCCAAAACCAAAAGATTAATATATGTAATCTATGCTGCTAACGTCACACTGTAAACGTCACACTGTTAATGTAACACTGTAAGGATCACACTGTAAACGTCACACTGTTAATGTAACAGTGTAAGGATCACACTGCTATCGTCATTTTGAGTACTTCTTTAGAAGATGTCCAATCTTGAAGAATATTTGAATCAGTCAAGAACCAAATTTTTGTTTTTCATGCTGTTAATGACACACTGTTAACGTCACATTAACATTCTAAATGTTTGAATATGTAATTCATACTGATGACTTAACATTAACATTAGAAACCGAATTAAAATCAATTGCTTTGTGCAGTGCTGTTAATGTCCCGCTGTTAACGTTACATTTACGATACATATGCTGATGTTAATGTCACACTGTTAACGTCACATAATACCTAGTCAAAAACGAATTCATATCAATGCCAACAGCATTCTGTTGTCTGTTAATGTTAGCATAACCATGCTATACTGTTAACGTAACACTGTTATTGTGACATTAACATTTGACGCCGTCAAATGTGCGGTTTGCAGCCTTGTCACACGCTGCCAATCGGCGGCGCTTAGTTGTCGATAAACGATAACCGATTAACGACGAACGCCGACCACCGATGCACATCGCCATTTGGTGCTCCATGCTTGGTAACGGCCTCGCTCCAGTTGTGGTTG